GTGGTGATTGTGAGGGGTTCTTGACCTTTCCCTGGCGGAGAGCCAAAAGGTATTTTAGTGGATTACTCGTGGCTTGTGTGATCCTCATCTTGTGTTGGTTGTGCGACACCCTATAGAGGGTTTGGCGTGTGATGCCAATTAGCGCGTGAACCTCCAAGTGAGTGAATCACCACAACAAGAAGTAGCTTGCCGGCAAGCAAGTGAACCTCGGTAAAAAATCATTGTGTTCATCATTTGATTCCGAGGTGATTGGTCTTCATTTATATTGATTCTTGTGATTGATTGGTTCACTCCTCGATACGACAGTATAACTATCTTGCTCTCTTCCTTTACATTACCGCAAACTAGTTGTCAAGCTCTTTAGTGTAGCTAGTTGTGAGAGCTAGTTAGTTTGGTTAGTGTGGCTCTTTAGTTAGCCTTTGAGAGCACACTAACTTAGCATAGTGACATTGCTATTGTGTGGATAGAAACTATATAAACTAGAATTGTGGTAGGTGGCTTGCATTTTTAGTAGGCTAGCGCAACACTTGCTTCGCCTCATAATTATCTAACCGGTTTGATTAAGTGTTGTTGTAGAAATTTTTATTAGGCTATTCACCCCCTCTAGCCATTAGGACCTTTCACCACCACAGCCGACTCCGGCTGCCGCGCTTCCCAGCTAGGGCGAGCCAGATTCGGCCACCCAGGCACCGGATCCGACCGCCCATGCATTGGATCTGGCCGTCTGGGCAGCCTTGGCCGATGCCATGGCCACCGTCGAGGAAGGAGGAAAGGGGCCTTCACCGAGCGCCCCCACGGCTGGTGTAACACCCCGGGTGTTATAAATACTAAAACTGCCATATCATCATATGCATTGCAAAGCTTTTGGTCATATTGAGAACTTTAATATGCATTCACTAAAATAAGTTTATATTTGTGTTATAAGTGTTGCCTTGTAGTATTTGAATCATGTTCCAAGTTTTGTTTGGATTTGGATTTTCGAAAACCCTAATTTCGGCCTTTAAGTTTTGACCTGGAAAACCCATTTCAAAATCGAAGCACATTTTGGGGTTGAGCCTTAAAGCAAAAATGTAGAGCTTGTTGAGTTGTACAATGTTTGTTTTTGGAGTTTTCAAAGTTGTTTAGAAAAATTTGGAGTAAATTGAAAAGGCGTAATTCTTTAAATGTCCCCTTTTTGAATTCAAAATTTGCATTTCAAAATGTAGACCGAATTAGGGGGTGGTTATAAAAGCAAAGTTGTAGAACTTTTGATTTTGAACAACTTTTGTTTTAGGATATTTTTGAGTTGTTACACAAATTTGGGAGTAATTTGGATTTTTAAAATGAATGGCAATTCTGTAATTCCTGTGAACAGTGTTCACCGCCTAAGCTACATGGCCGGCGATCTTCTTCGGTGTTCCAGGCGCGTCATGGCCGTCTTTGGTGTCGCACTAGCGTGATGAAGGCTTCCGTGTGGCTGCTCTTTGCTTCTAAGTCGCGCTATTTAGCCTGAGCCATCGCCGTTCATCTCCTTTCTTCCTCCTCTGTTTTTGCCGTCACCACCGCCTAATTCTGTTGAGCTTGCACCGTCATCTTAGTGCTTGCCAGTCGCAGCTATAGCCCGTCACGGTTCCGCCTGCTCCTTGCGCATCCAACCGACCTGCTTTTGTAGCTTGACTTCGCCAGGAAACTGCTGTGCGCACTCTTCTTCCTCGCGGTCGGCAGCGTCGCCGTCGTGTTCGCCTCACCATGGCCAGTGCTCCACGGTGCATATCCGTCCTTGATTTGTAGCCCTTCAGCTTCACCGTGTTACCGTGGTCCACTGTGACCTTTTGATTGAGCCATTCCTCCGCTGCAGTCACCAGGAGTCGAGCTTGCCATCGCCGTCGTTGCTGTCACCGTCGTCTGACGCCACCTTTGTTGTTCATCGTCTACCGCACGTTCTAACACATTTGTGGTGAGCTTTTGGTTCTTCCGAGTTGTTTGTGTGAGTTCCTAGTTCTTTCGAGTTGTTTGTGTGAGTTACTGGTTCTTCCGAGTTGTTTGTGTGAGTTCCTGGTTCTTTCGAGTTGTTTGTGTGATTTCCTGGTTCTTCTGAGTTATTTGTGTGATTTCCTGGTTCTTCCGAGTTGTTTGTGTGATTTCCTGGTTCTTCCCGAGTTGTTTGTGTGAGCGGGTGATTTGAAAATGATTTTTTCCTTTTTTAGAAATGATTGAATAGTGCTGTAATTTGTTATTTTTGTGTAGATTTATTTAGAGCTTCAAAAATTATGAAAATTTTTGTGTGACCTCTTTGTGATGTATATTATTTAAAAAAATATGAAATGTTGTTTTTCAGTACTTTTTGAATGTGATAAAAATTGCTCAATTAATTAATAAATGAGTTTCCATGATTTTCTAGGCTTATTTATGTATCCAAAAAATCATGAAAATTGTTTTGCCACTTAGTTATCATGTGATGAACATTTAAAAAAAATTTGAGGTCAATTGGAATAAGTTGATTTATTTCATAATTCTTAATTAATTAATTAATTTATAAAAGCGAATAGTAACCTTTAGTGATTTATGTTTTGTTTGAATTTTTAATTGAGTGATGTCCTTGGGTCATTAGTTGATAATGATCCTTGGCAATTGAATTAGGTGTATGCAAAAGTTTAGTTAGTTTGACTTGTAACTGTACCGCGAAAGAAAGTTGTGTTCAAAATTATTAGTTTTGCATCCATCATCTCGCATCATATTTTGTATCTCGCATCATGTTAAATATGGCATTGTTACTACATGTAGTGAACGAAGATGAGCACATGGTAGTTAATCAAGTAGTTGAGGAGGATGATCCGTTTGTGGAGGTTGGTGTTGATATCGGTGGAACGACTCCGGACCTAGATTTTTCCGCCAACGAAGGCAAGCCCCGGATGCATTTAACCCTACCTTGTATTTTACCAATTGATTTCGCTTTTGCTTTTCTGTACTGCATTAAGTGATTAGGAGTTAAGGGAAAACCTAATTGGTGCATTACCATCCTTGTTCTTCCATATCTACCCTGTTATTAGTCTTAATTCGTATATGCCTAGTTTTGCTTAGCTATGCTTAGAACGATGAAAGTCGGGTGATTACCTGTCACCTGCAAATTTTAAATGGATCTTTGGTTATGCTTGGTTATTTATGTTATCATGAAATATGAGCATGTGGAGTAATAAATCTAGACCGGGCGGACTCGGTGTATGGGAGCCACAAGACATGGGGGTCTTGTGAACGGGTTCTTTCCGCCTGTGTCGATTAAGGCCCGTACCGTTATTGAATTGCATGAGGTGAGACTTTATAGTACTAACCACATACTCCGATAAGCTTTAACTTGGCTATTCTATTACGAGAATGGCTACTCGTGCACTGGGAGTGGAGAGATGGCGGGAATAGCGTGTACCCACGTGGCAATGGGCTGGATTGGTGGAGTACTGTATTCTCGGGTGGCGCGGACCCGTTCTTGTTTTAGAGGATCTGAGGGTAGGTTGGTATATGTAGGTCAGGGACCTGCATATGTCGTGTGGTCTGGAATCCCCAGCTGGGTTGAATCGGTTTGAATCGTCGTTGCTCCTCGGTTATGGAGACTCAACTCACTGTTCATCATCGTAGTGTAAATAACTGGAACTTAAGGATGGTTTGAGAAAGTGTTGGATATGAAGTTTCATGATCTCAATACGGATCGTGTCAGCTTTGTCTATGATCTTTATGAAGTTTTAAATGTTGATATAAAGAATTTTGTTAAAGAGCTTTTACGCAAAAGAACTTTGATTATTGTTAAAGCCATACCTTGAATCCCTGAGCCTGCATTCCTGCGTTCTATTAATTCTTATTTCGGTTAAGTCTTATTGAGTACTTTTGTACTCAGGGTTCGTTGACCCTTGTTGCAGGTGAGGCTCATGAGCAGATCTGTTTTGGATCATGCTGCATGACTGTTGTTCAGTGCGATGACGATAAGTAAATGTGTGGCCCTTGAGCAGGGCAGCTTATTTGTGTGTTCTGTAATATGTTATAATGCCACTCCACTACTTTGGTTTGTAATAAGTATCGAACTTAGTTGTATGGTTTGAAACAAATGGTTTGTAAACTATGTTATTGTAAGACTTCTGCTGATTTACTCTGGTGTAGATATTTGAATAAATGTTGTAATATTGCAATGACTCTGTAATGTGATCCTGTTCGGAAATCATGGATGATTCGGGGTTCTCCGAGGACACCCGACAGTCTTCTTAAGTTATCGGGAACATATGTATAGTTGTTAAAGGTCGTCGGACAGTGACAGGTGCATGTGGGCCCTATAATTTAGGAGGTTCTGCCACAGCTGGACAAGATGCTCCAGGTGCGGAGTCGGCAGATCCAGCCGAGAGGACGCTGGATTCGCACACCCCGGACCGAGAACCCGCCGGCCGCCACTGCCCCCGTCCCAGCTCGGGAGCACCTCCAGCCTCTGGGAGAGAGAGAAAGAGAGGGGTGGGGAAGAAGAGGAGATGGCCTAGCCGCCGCTGTCCTTGCCTTTGGCTGGTTTGCCGGCATCCAGCTCTGGCAGAGCACGGGAGGGGTTTGCGCTGGGTGGAGAGACGATGCTGCCCGAGTCACCCCGTAGAGGCGACGTGGGGGCCTAGGAGCTGAGCGACCGTGAAAGGTACCAACTGAAATGTCTGACATGTTGAATAAACTACAAGCTGCGAGTCGTTCCTATAGATAAATTGCAATGCACTGCATGAATATATTCGCTCAGTTTCAAATTATACGTCATTCCAAAAATCTTGAAGAGTCAAAACATCTTAAGTTTGATCAAATTATGATAAGATAATAACATTTATAATACCAACTAAATATTATTTGATTCTTTATTGATTATATTTTTATAGTATATCTACTTGATGTGATAATTTTTCGTAATTCTCTTTATAATTTTGATCAAACTTAAGATACTCTGATTCTCCAAGTTTGAAATGACTTATAATTTGGAACTGACGGAGCATATGCTTTCTAGAACGACGTCACCCAAACCCCATAACCTTTGGTGCCAAGCGGAGCAACGGCTCGAGCGTGTCCGGCGCGAACTTGCGCGCGAACAAGTAGCAGACGCCGCTCGCTCCGTCACTGTATCCGGTGCAGTTTTTGCCTCCGCCGCCGGCGCCGCCCGCTCTGATCTCCCTGATCAGCGCCTCCGTGGCGTCGCCAGCCCCGTGCTTGCGCGGGTGAGAGCCGCCTCGCCTCCAGTCCGCGTACGTGAGCGTCCGGTTGACGTTGCGCGTCCACCGGAGCACGCTCACCAGCGTCGGCAGGTAGTGCTCCTCCGCGAAGCAGTACCTGTTGCGCGCGCAGTACTCGTGGAACGCCGGGAAGTAGGTGTCGTCGGAGACGAGCTCGAGCGCGAGCGCCCGGTCCATCTCGAACCACTGCGCGCCCTTGCGCCACTGCGCGAGCGTGATGTTGCCACCGGCGGCGCGCTGGCCGAAGAAAGGGTTGTACCGCACCTCGCTGTCGTGGTTGACGAAGCTGTCCACGAAGCTGGTGTTGGAGCCGGTGAGCAGCGCGTACACGGTGGTGAAGTTGTAGAGGGGGATGCACGACTCCGAGAGCAGCGCGAACCGCTGGTTGCCCAGGTCCAGCAGAGCGTTCGCCACCAGCCGGCGCGCCGCGTCCACCAGGGTCACGTCTCCCCAGGACGTTTTCTGCAGCCATGCATGGCCATATGCGCGTTATTGCGTGCGAATTCTTTACTTCGTCAGTGGCAGTGCAACCTTTTACCTGGCTTGGGATCATGCGATCGTAGAACACGGAGTCCTCCGGCGGCGAGCCGGTGTAGGACGGATCCGCGTGCACGTAGATGGAGTAGAGGCCGTGGTGCCCCTCGAAGAACTTCTCCCACAATGGCCGCAGCGGCAGGTCACCCTTGCCAGGAACAAGAAGGCAACCTTTGGAACGCGGTGGTACGGCGTGGCGCGAACCTTGGGCGACATGGACGCCCACCAGAGCAGCTCCTCGTCGGTCATGTTGTTGCTCTTGACACTGCTAAGAGAGCTAATCATCAGTTCCACCTTAGGGCTTTGTCCTGATGTCGAAGCTGTAGGTGGAGGTGGCGACGGAGCAGGCGGAGGCTGTAGGGTCGGAGGTGGCGGTGACGACGACACCATCGCAGAGGGCGATGGCGGCACGAAAGGGAGGTAGCAATTTCGAAACTTGGCGTTGGTGGAGGTGCCCACGATAAAACCCAAGGAGAAGCAGAGAAGCATAGGCATCACCACACTGAAGAGATTCCTTCCTACTACGGGAGACACCCGGATGGGCATACTTGTGTCGTTCATGGTTTAGCCGCAGCACGCAGGCTAGCAGCATGTGTGATCCAGAGAGATGCAGCAACCTTTAACTTGTTCATATACCGCACCACCGAGATAATATATGCCAGTCTATAAGGGTGACGATGAATACACGTATTGGCACGTATACACACAGCTCCGATCTGATCCACTTTGCTTCCTCTGCAAATTAACATAATGTGTGTCGCTTGTGGTTGCAAAAGTTTGTGGTGTTGACTTCTAATTTGTTTTACATCCTCATGGCGTCCGTCCGTCTAAATGGACGTCTAAATGGACCGACCCGCCAGTGCCGCTCACCTAGTCAACTGTGCTGCACGCCGCACGACTCCGCCCGCGCCGCACGCCGCACGCCGCACGCCCCCGCCCCACTCCGCCTTGCTGCCGCTGTCTTCCCCACTTGCAACCGCAGACCATGCCCATAGGGGCCACTGCAACCTGCTTGGGCCTCCCACCAGCCTTCCTTCCACTAGATCCACTGCACGGCGAGAAAACCGATGGTGGCCGTTGCTGCGGCGCCGGCTGCGGAGGCTGCGGCGCCAGCTACGGGGGCTGAGGGGGCTACGTGTCCTGCGTGGAGCCCAGAATACCGGCGGCCACGAAGGGGTCCTCGCCGGCCTCGCAGTAGGCGGAATCGATCTAGTCGATGGCGGCGCTGGTCGACGGTGGTGACGTCGCGGCTACCTCCGACGAACCTCTATTTTTCTCCCAAGTAGCAAGGAGATGTTGCACTGAAAGCGCATGTTTCAAATGTTTCAGATATTTTACAGGTATGTTGCGAGTGTTTTAAATGAATATTGCAAAAGTAGATCGGATGTTGTATATGTTGTAGTGGCTATACATGTATGTGGCAAGCGTCTGTTCTAAATGTTTCATCTGTTTTTCAGACGTATGTTGCAAGTGTGTTTTATCTGGATGTTGTATATGTTTGGCACATATGTTGCAAGTGTTTTATCTGGACGTTGCATATGTTTCGAAATGACATTTTCAAGTGTTTTCAGTTGTTTTTGCAAGTGTTCCAGACGCATGTTTCAAGTGTTTTATCTGTCTTCGGACCATGTTGCAAATGTTTTATCTGGATGTTTTAAAAGTAGATCGGTGTTACACATGTTGCAATGGACCCACCTGCCAGAGCCACCTATTGCAGCTGCAAGGGGGAGCAGCAAAGGGGGCATGAGTGGTCCCCACGCTGCGGGTCTAGCGGCGCTGGGCGACGTTCTGAGCAGCGCGGGCGCGGAAAATGGAGTGTAAGCATGGGTGTCCAAACATCCGGGCAATAGCACTACCATTTGTTTTAACACTAGTCGAACATATATGTAGGAAGCTATTTTATCAGTCGCACATTTATCATTTCTTTTTGTTACTAATTACTCCCCAGGGAATATATAAACTTTGAACTTAGATATTATATGATGGCAAATATTGCCCTGCTCGTTTTGGCATAGATGAGAAACAAATGCAGCTTGCCCCCTATGGAGCACAAGGGGCACTTGCAAACCAAATTAAACTGTACGTGCATACACTCATGAAATGCCAGTACGGACAGAGTGATGCAATTGTTATGTTTCCATCTTTCTCCATCTAGCTTCTCTCTCTCCCTCTCTCTCTCTATCTCTATCTCTGTCTTTGCTTTTAACTCTCTATCTCTTCTCTACTACTACTCAGTACAAACTTATTAGGAGTCATTTTTTGGTTGACAAATGCATAATAACAAGACTAAGGGTATCTTTGTATACAAGAGTTAATTGCTAGCCAAATCAGAATTAGCAAAAATTAGTCATAGTACATCTAAACAGGGGATCTAATGGATGAGCTAATTGTTTAGACAAGCCTTCAACTAGTTGTTAGCCAACTAAGGGCATGTTTGGATGAGCTAGGGTTAGTTACTAGTTAGGCTAAGAATTGACTCAAATGAGCTGAGTTTGACTAGCTAGTTGGCTAACAACTAATTGAAAACTTGGCTAAAAAAATTAGTCTATCTATTAGCCCTCTTGTTTGGATGCACTATAGCTAATTATAGCTAAACTTTAGCTAGCTAGTAATTAGCTCTTGTATCAAAACAGCCTAGCCAACCTTAGTTAATTTAAGCTAATTTTGAGACCAACTTATAAGTAGTCCTAGCTCATCCAAACAGACCCTAAATAGACAAATGCAATAGTTCTATATTTATTTCTAGGGTATTATTGTGTGGTCAGAGATGAACCATTGTGAGATCAAGGCAGAACATATTGTATAGAGTTAGATCTCGTTTATAGTAAAGAAACATAGGAACGACACAATTTTTAGTCTGGCTTATCAGCCATGGTACAATATTTTTTTCTTACAACAAATCAGCTTCAGCCGGCTTATCAGGACCAGAAACCATCAGCCGAACAGTTTCAGTTGCCCTTCTTCATAGAAATTCTTTTAGCATTTATTCTCAACTAATGTTAAAATATGTGCAATTCAAAACCCAACTTCGGTTGCCCTTCTTCATAGAAATTCTCATCACAATGTGTTGGTCTATTTGGACAGTCGGAAATGATTTAATCTTCAAAGATATTCAACCTTCGATGCAGCGGTGCCGATTAATTTTCAAGAGGGAATTCGCTCAAGTTCTTCGTAGAGCGAAAGCAGTGTATCAACCTATGGTATTGTCTATATATAGGAGCACAAGCCCGAAGATTCAAACCCTATGCTTCCTTAGCCTGCTCCTCGTTCTAGAGCCAAAGTTGACTTCGGAATCTATTGCTGTAGTGGGATCGGATCACCCTAAACGCAGCATGTTGAAACAGTGACTTGTAAGAAGTAAGAACTAAGCAAATATTAGCACTTTTGACCTAACTCAAATTAAGGCCAAAATTTGCACGTGTACCAACACATGATTGCTACGGGAAGTATAATTTATTTTAAATAATAATATGATTTAAGTAAATCCTCATAGTTTGAATGTGGCTGCATGTGGCCCTTTCCAGGCCCCCATTTCTAGTAGACACTAATAAGCTTCTACTGTGTGTAGGTTAGGCAAAGTTTGCCCGCCAAATTATATTCCTAATGATGGAACAATAAGTTGGAAGTCCCTAATTGACTACCAAACATAGCAGATGCTTAAAAAAAGACTAAGTAGGTGGGCGCGCTTCACCTGCCCATGTATATATATTTTTCTCGAATACATAAAAGATTTGCGTATCATTATAATTAAGAAGAAGAGTTTAACCATACAAATGATACGCTTCTGATGAGTGCCCTAGGTAGTCTTATAGCTTTGACTAGGCCTTCCTAGCAGACTGTTTCAAAACATCACTATTACATAAATGGTATACAACCAAACTAGGAGCAACACAGCAACCTATGGAGCTGGGCGTCTCCACTACTAGCTGCACGACCCTACTCCACCATCCGAGAAGAGTATAACATAGTATATATAATGCTTATTTGTTCTTGTGCCATTCATGTGTTCAGTAGACCATGCATTTGTGTCACTACCTATCTGCTGGTAGGAACTCCAGACACGAGTATTCAAGTTGGCACACACGAGGAAGAGATTCCGACCAGATGGGGCTTGGCGGAGCACAAGGACCAGACAACCCAATATGTACCCGTGTTGCAGGATCTAAGTGGGCAATGCCCATGTAATAGTGCCATGTTGAGGCAACAAAGTGCAGCCTGTATCTCTACTTAAAGAGAGAATGCGAGAAGAGAGGAGACATGAACAATATAACAAAACTCTAATTCCTCAATCCAATTCCTCCTCGTTCCCAAACTGTTGTTTGTCTCCCTATCTCTGATTCATCTCCCTCGTTCCCCAACTGCTGACATACTTGGTATCGAGACTTAAATCCTAGATTTACCCATCTCATTTGCATCTCATAGCCACTTCACCGCCTCGCAAAGGAATCTTGGCGCCATGGATTTGAACACTCACTCATCCTCGACGAGCTCGCCAAGTGGCTTCAAGAGCAGGAGGACAAGTGGGCGAGGTGACTGTGCAAGCTTGACGCCCAGCGCTCTGCCTAGGGATGGAAGTGGGTCAGTTTCGGGTTGGGTCCCCACGGTTTTTGCATCTACCTGGTGCGGGCAGGGGGATTTTCACGCAGTTTTTGGGTTCAGAACCCAAAACTTATCGGGTTTGGTTTTGGGTTTAGGGTTCCATGGATGTCTAATGGAGACCCAAAACATATCATTTTGAATCAAAACTCATTTCTTGCATTAATAAATTGTAATGTAAGCTACTAAATTTGTTCTAAGTTGAGACATGGAATTGTATGTTGTTTTTCCCCTCTTGTTTATGCATGTGAATATGTAATATATATCATACATGTGCTACAAAAAATTCATTATTATTGCTCTTATTGTATTGCCATATAGGTGGTGGGTTT